GCATAACTTCGTATAGCATACATTATACGAAGTTATACGATTTGCAGAAAAAATAAAGAAAAAAGTATAAAACTCTACTGCAGCTGCAATAACCCTCTGTAATTACGTGCTTAAATCACTGTCGGCGGAGTTATTGCAGCGGAATGCTTTCCACGCGGCCGAATGCGCTAGCATGGCGAATGCTCGAATCCTGGCAGAACGTCAGGTTATCCAACTTTTCGCAATCCTGACAAATTTCTTTCCCTCTCTTCCCGATATCGGTACGCGTTATTTCCGATTCATCGTGAAAATCGATGACGCAACTACTCTCGCGACGTTCGAAACTTCAAAAAACGTTCAATTCGCCACAAACATCAAATCAGCAGATTTTGGGGGCATTGACACGCTGAACTTTTGCGAAAGAACAAATTGCCGCATTAAATACACACGTGTGAAAATAGATTTGTTGATTTTTGTTAAGCTACATATGTAATTACCAGTTGTATACTACTACTTTGTGTATTACATTATGCTTTAATCTTTATTAAACAAATTTACAATTAGTTTTATTTAGTGTTTTGTTTTTCTGTATTTTAGAAGACTATATTTTGTTATCAAGTTCCATTTTTAAAATCAATTAAAAACCTTATTAAAGCATATATTGTATGTATATCCTTCCAAAAAAATTAAATTTTTTAAAATGTATACACATGTATACTTTATCTCTTAATTAATTGTAAATTATTTTAGCTATTCATTTTCCTGTTAAAATTTTATGAAATTTTTCTTATAAAATTTAATATGGTTTCGCAATTCTTTCAAAGTGCAAAACTTCAGCAATAATTATTAGACATAAACGATAATAATTATTAGACATAAACGATTGTTTTTTTCAAGCCTACATTTTTATCTTAATACAATTCAGTTTAGCTCTCATAAAGCATTGTCATGGGTGAAATTTTAAGAAGAAGAAATCGGCTAAATAACGCCGGTGAAATAATTGGCTTCAATTACAAACTTAATGCGTGTCGAAATTATGATGACGAAACTTTTGGCGGCATATGCCGCGGTCTGACTGCGCGTCTCGATTTTCCAACGCGCTTTTTCGCAATCCCTCGAAAATTTCTCTCTACCTTCGCTCGCGATGCTCTCGGAGGTGCCGCCCTTTTCGCCCTCTCACGCGCTCTTTCCAGCTTTCCGTTCGTTCGTGTTTCCGATGCGAAATCGACAGCGGCGCTGATCGGAGAATTCCTGGCGCGTGACGCGCCCCAAAATTCTGGGTTTTAATTGCGCCGCGGATATTTTGGGGGGGGGGGGGAGAACGGAAGGTATTAATGGACCGAATCCCAGGCGGAGTTGCAACGCGACGTGCTGGTGCAACGCGTGCACTCGGACAACAGAGCGGATGTTTAATTGAGCATTCGGTCGCGCCCGCCCGAACGCGAATGTCTCTCATAATCCGGCGTGCCAATTAACGCTATTAGAGACATCGAGCGCGCCGGCACGCACTCACCCGACAGCGGTCCACGATAAATCCGATAATTGATTGTGGATCGACGCGTGTGCGACAGCCCATTACGAGAGCGCTGAGAAAAATTGTAGAACACGCATTACCTCGTCAACGAGCATCAAAATTATTAAGAATAATATCTCTTTGTTGTCGAAAGGAAAAGAATTTCACATTGTAATAAAGAGGATTTTTCTTTCATAACATCTCAGAAACGACGAAAGAAATAAAAGATGCAAATCATCCACAATTTCTCTTACGTATTTTACGTAATAAAGTGAATAAGTGTCTTGTTAAAAATATTGCCTGTAAGCAATGTGTAAATCTATATTCAATTTCTTGTTATATAAATAATAAACTATTAAACATTTGTGTATAAATTACGTGATGGTACTTCGAAAGCATAACAGTTACCACGTTGGATTTAATTATTAGTCCACCGAGTGATTAATTGCCCGGAGAATTATAGCTCTTGGCTATTGTCCCGTTGTAAACACACGCGGTATTCTATGTCAAACGCGAATAAAATTTAATAATTTTTCGCTTGAGCGGTCACACACCACACAAGCGCAGTCATCATTTCAATCTATTTTGTCATTGCGTCCTAATTTCATTTGTTACATAAACAACATACAGAGAATATTCAAACTTATATTATCTCTATTTTTCCACCTTTATAATTTTTTCAAAGTTATGCAATTGTTCAGCCGCGATTATTCGCGCGCTTATCGCGAAAGCATTCGGTGCGAATCGATATTTGCGCGAGCCAGTGCGCGAGCTGTCTCGTTTAATCATGACCGAAAAAAAATTATATATCCAATTTAATTAAAAATCAATTCCTTTCATGCTGGAAAAAATTCATTTCGCATCAAACTAAATTCGCGCCTTGCAATGAGAGAGGAGGTCTCTTGTGACCGCCCAGATACCGATTCTCTGTTTTATTCACCGCGTCTCGTCAACGAAGATAGAACGAATGTACAGACGGAGAACTCCGGGTAATAGTCGAAAGTTTATAGAGTCTAACCGGAGGAAAGTAACTGGTTTATGGGAAAACTTTCGCCACGTCCTCACACGGAAAATTTACGTTCACAGCGCTGCCGGAGAAGGGACCGGAAATCACAGGCCTGTCCTTGCACTACGCCGTCGGCGAGAACGTGACTGCCAACTGCACTGCCTGGCCATCCGTGCCTAAGGCCAATCTACGTTGGACCATCAACGGCGAACCGGTAAAGTACTCTTCCGCATCCCCAGCACTAGCAAACTTTCCCGAGGCTTCTGTGCCGTCTGTGCCGCATCGGTGTATCGCACATGTACGTGCTCGTCCGACCGCGGGAAATGATTTCACACGATTTTTCTTTCAGATCAAAATAATTAAGAGTTTATATAAGCTAATTTATCTTTATGTCAAGAAATCCTAAAATGATAATAAGCTATTGCTCCAATTACGCTTATTTACAGTTGGTTAAAAATTAATACAGAAATTAATACAGAAATATGAAGACAAACATAGTTTGAACAAGATTGAGTTCTTTTGTTGGAATGCAATAAAAAAATTGGCATTCTAATTTCAACGTTGGAAAGCATTAAGAAGAGTTTATAATTTTTTAACTTATATATAGCAGTATAAGGAAGGTATAGAAATCTAAAAGATGTAGATTTCGGAAAAAGATTTGAAAACAAGTTGTTTTATAAAGTTGTTTTGTATTCTAAATTTCATACGAAAAAAAAATTCATCTTTATATCGCTGATCATATCTGGCTGGTCAAACTTGAAATTAAATTAAAAACGATTCATTCAATTATGCATGTGCATACTTGAATGAACCGTTGCATACTTGAGGTACATTGCGCGGGAAGACTTAAACTTTACACGTTAAGTAGTTCTCTAATATCATAGTTAAACTTCGTGTCACGTTTTTCACTGGGAAAAATCGGCTCCAGTTTCGCCGAGGGATCTGTCGTTAACGGGAAAGTCAGAGCACCCTATACGTATACACGACGGAATTGATTGGATAGGTACACGCGTATACACTCCGATCTCGTCGGTAAGCTGCTTTCGCGGCGGAATCTGATTTCGCGCGAAAGCGATAGTGTCCGCGCACGAAGACACTGGCACGGCAACGAAAACCTCGTCGAGAGAAAAATCTTATTTCCTTCCATTGGTGCCGTGACAACGAAATCGAGACTCCGAGGCCTGTCCCCGCCCACGACTTGTATATTCGTCGTTTCGTGCGACGGATTTGAAACCGTCTTTGAAGATTCCGTCTCTTCTCGTTTCTAATAAGACAATCTGGAAAAATCTACGAAAGTCTGCTATATGTTCGTACACAAAATTTATGTTGTTGCGTTATGTTGAGTCGAAGGTTGAAAATGGTACAATTTCAAATTTTCTTTTTAAGTAAAGTGTAATAAAGTATATTTAAATCCTCCACTTTTAATTCGTTACCAGTTTAAATTTTCGTTCTGATTTGTTAGTTTATTTATTAAAATTATTCTTACGTGTCTTATATAAGTGTATTATAAATGTATACTTTTTTATATATATAAATATGATTATGCATACATAATAAACACATCTTTCTATATATATCTTGCAACATTGAAAAAAGTAATTTCTTTAAAACTCGATCGAATTTGAACTCCACTAATGATGATTTCTTCAAATCAAATAAATTGAAATTGATGCGGAATAAATTTAAATTCATTTAAACATAACTCATATATGCATAGGCGCGTAATGATTGCAACAAAGTTCGAACAAATTTTTCATAATGCCATGATAACTTTATATTCGCGCATTATGATTAAATTTAATTCTTAATTTAAATTCTCTACGAGAGAGCTATGAGATAATACGCTAAACGAATATTGTGAGTAGCCTGTATAGTATTCGCGCTCATTAAAGTATGCACGATGTAACGAGATTGAACCAAAACGTGCAGTATCCTTTGATCAATTTAAAGTCAATTTTACCTTAGCGAAAATTCGATTGGTCTCGCCACATCCCTTTGCATTTTTTAATTCTCAAGATCAAATGTTACAATAGGAGGAGCGCGTTATAAACATGAAACAATTCTTTGATGCTAAAGCCAGAATGAAATTTTATGTAAATTTTATGTAAACAAGAAAATTTTATTAAATTATTGTAGCTTTATTCACAATTTTTTTTTCTTATATCTAAATTTCCACACAGTACAATTTCAAAGCTGAAATTTTTCACTTTATCACTACCTACATATCGCGAGGGAATAGTCAATGCACGCAATTTCCTGCTTCATTATGTTCGCAACTGAAAAATATTAATACCGAGAAAGAAACGTTACGAGAACAACGCGAAGCGTAGTAATATTCGCAGAACAATCGGCGGAAGAAAAAAGAAGCAACACGGACGGTTTGCTGAACGGGCTCGGCGAAATGTAAAAGATTGTCGTGCAATGTGCAAAATGTGTTCCTTAGAAAAGCGTAATTTCGCGCCAAATTGATCGTCGTTCCTGGATCCAAAGCAAATCTCCGTTGAACCGTCAACAAAGCGGCGGGCAAAGTACATTTCTCTCTTTTGCCCGGAGCACTCTCGGCACTTTGATTGTCGCGGGCGTTCCTGTAAATTAGAACGGACTGTGCGCCTCGAGAAAAACGGTAAATTGCTCGCAGCATCACTCGCGTTTTGTATGCAGGGGGATTAACCCTCGTGGGATTAAGATTTTAAATTGTAACGTGATTAGTAGATTAAAACTGATTTGAAATTATCCTGAAAGCACGCGTCTAAAACTCTATATTTCCTCGTCTATTAAGCCTTTTTCTTTTAACTTTTAAAAAAAACCTGTATTTTAATAATGCATACCAAACTATATCTGTGTGCTTCAGTAACTAGTAACATTTGTTATTTTATTATGCTCCCGAGTTTCTTCTTCGACGTAATTTCTAACGATAGACGATATACTAATGCATAAACGCGATACATGCGCTTGCGAATTTATTATAGCGACGTTTTATTTTTCCGGCAATAAAAGAAGATTTTGTGAAAATTCTTTATTGCGCTTTTCTCTTTCCTCCTTGGAATCGATGTATATTTTCTTGAGTTTATTCGCGCAAGGAATGAATGAAGGAAGTATACAAAGTTGGCAACACGATTTTCTCTTGTCTACTTCATTCTTCCGTTCGATTTTATTTCGCAGTCGTACACCGTATTACTTCGCCAATAATTCGAGTTTACGATTTCGAGAAAATGAGAAAAAAATCAAGAATGCGACTTTATCGTCCGCTTCGCAAAAAATACATGCGGAATTGGGATTTTTTCATATTTCACATATATCGATCGATCGTATGTCACAAGCATTACACACATCCCGCTGGTACATATCTGTTATGGCAATTTTATCTCGCCCTCGCGCGCACCACTTGATATAAGTTTGCAAATAATTCGAATTTATGATTCGTATAAGATAGGAAAGGCATCGCGATGCGGACGGACTGTATCGTTCGTCCACAGGAAGGAAAAAGTGGAAACAAGATTTTTTCGCGTTCTTCGACAGAGCGATGGATCGATCGTAAGTTATCGTGCATTGTACGGTAAAGCTGGCCGACACAATGGCTGGTTGCGTGCTTTTTTATTAACATACGAGCCGAAACTGCAATCGCGCGGTCGATATAGTGACATATGGCTGCGCTGAAAACCATCCAGACGCTACTTTTTATACGTAATGGCTCGAATCCGACGTCGGTCGCACGTCTTTTTTTTCTCTGATGTGGAATGATATACGGATGGCTGGCATCGGCGAGATGGGGATTTAATGCGAGCCCATATTTGAATGATACGACGCTTTTTCAGCAACTAGCGCGATGGTAATAGTCTTTCTTTATTATTACGTCCCTACGCGAACAAGTTTCAGCCATTTTTCAAGCGAATCACCCTGAAAGTCACGCGGAACTTTCCAACGATCCAAAATAATTTCTCCGATTCGATTCTGAGACTGAAATGATACGTTATCTATTATGTTCTGATCTGCGCCTATAAAATTATTAATCATTAATTATTACCGTTATAAACAATACAATTATTAAATTTTTCTTTTTAAAATAGAACGACTTTTTTTGCGATAAGTGCTAAATTAAATTCTTAGATATACATAAATTTAAAATATAAGAAATTATTAATATTACAATATGATCGCTATCTCATATAAGATTTTGTACAATCCGATTATGTATTTTTTGTTTGAGTCTCTCCTATGCAAGGGAGAGACCTTTTTTAGAAACAATTTATATTCTTTACACAACACCTATATAAAGGGACCTGTAATAAAATCAATATTTTTATGCGAAAGAAGGAACCATACTCTTGAAAATGTAATTCCAAAAAGATCGTGTAAAGCTTCGCACGGATCCGTCGCAAATTCTCGAATTCCTGCGTGTTTCGTACCATAGTGCCGTATATGTCAAAATACAAATATTTTCACGAAACTAAAACGAATCATTCGGGAAAGATATAGCAAAGATTGAATGGATTTAGAAGTATGACAGGCTTTGCCTGAATTGGATTGTTCCAGGATATGCCACTCCTTGGATGATTTCTTCAACTATTGGAAAAAAGCCCCTCGCAATTGTACTCTTTGCGAAGAGTGTGATCGTGATATTGCTCTCACCTAACATTGTCTCTCCGTCCTTGCCGGAAGGCTCACGCATTTTGAGAAGAGACTCTGGAAGAGAGACTCATCGTCAAAAAGGACGCCGTCGTTCATGCACGAAAGTTATCAGATCCTCTTAGAATGTCATTAAAATTCACGAAGAATCCGCAGTACTTCGAATTTAAATTATCTCATTCTGAGACATATGTCTAAAAATTCACGTAGAACGTCGGGAACAGATCTTAACGTATATCAACTTTGCAATAAAGACTTCTCTTGGTCTAGGTATTCAGATATATGCACGTCTCAGAAAGAAACAATTTAAATTCTCAAAATCTTCCTTAAATTTCTGTCTTTAAAGAGAGAGAAAACGGCAATTTTTGCAAGCTATCCTACTTTTTAAGCGGCTAGTCCTAAGAATTGATAAAATGATCCTATTTTTAAAATCCCAAAAGATAATAAATATGACAAAACAATCGACTTTAAACCTTACTAGTTCCCATTAGTGTTTTTTTCTCTTACTCGAAAGCGAAGGATTCCCTCGTATCGGATACGATTTTTGAAGAAAGATCGTAATTCCGCACGCGCCCTTATCCTGAGGAGAATCCCGCAGGAACCTGCGAAGCTTGGCAGGCCGACACGATCGCACCCCAAACGAGTCAGATCGAATTCAGGCATTCAATAGAATTAGGCGATCGATCCACGGTGCACGATACTCACGGGATCACCAACGGAAAAATGCCCGCCCGTCGCTTTTCGTTACGTTTACGACCCTCGTAAAATCCCAACGAACGAATCTATATATATCTCGTCTCTTACATCTCCTCGTCATTTTTCCTCCATGGTGACAGCCAGTCATCTTCAAGAGCCGTTCTACAACTTCTTGCGTTTATTTCATGGATGATGTGCGATATATAATATGCGATATATAATATAAAATATCTGTTCGATGGTATTCTTCACCGGACAAACATGGGACAAACGAAATGTGAAATTATCACATTACTTATTAAATAAAGTAAAACTATTATAATATCATAAATAATATCATAAATTTATCATAGGTGTTTGAATTAAATAAACCTATCTTTTAATTCACTCTTAAATCCAGTTTCACAGAGAGAGAGAGAGAGAGAGAGAGAGAGAGAGAGAGAGAGAGAAGAATAAATAA